AGAGTTGAAGAAAGAGGTCCAAGCCCCAGCCCCTTATCCCTACTTTCCAAAGTGGACCACCTGAGAATTTTGAGAATAGTAGGAAACTCACTGCGTAAATGAGTGGTGAGTTGGCCTCCAGACCTCCTATGTGAAACCTAAGACAAGTAACTAATATTACTGAAATAAATCTCAAGGGCAAGTTCTTATATTATGACATGTCACAAAGAACTGATAAAACAGAGCTTCCTCAAAAAATCCAGAAAATGAAGTGAGTGGCCTTACCACTCCCGCCCCAACCTGACCATAGAAGGGTCTCAGATTCTGGGCCATGGCCCAGAAAACCAGACACTTATCCTACAGTTGCAAACAAATGACACCAATCAGTTTTTCCTAAAGAAGTCCTACCAAGAGTAAAATGAGACATTCACCTAGGAAAGACAAAGACCCCCAAAGAGCTGGGAGATGTCCCACGTTCAGCTGGTGGTGAATCCAGTTCATGTGAAGCGATGAGTCTCAAGTTTGTGTCTGTTGCTCTGGCTACTTGAAGAACAGTACAAAACTATGTAATAGCCCCAAATCTCATCTAGCCATACAAGAAGTCCAGAATAAGAAATAAGAATAGCTCTGGGGTTGACACTCTTCCAAGCTAGCGATAAGACTCCAAGCTAGTAACCTAGGCCTACCCACTATTTCCAGGTACCTGTCTGCTAATACAAAAGGAAACATCTGCTCTGTAGGCAACTGTAGCCTCACTAAGAAGACCTAAATTCAGGAGCAGTGTCGAAGTTTCTAAAGCTAAGAGAAACAAAATCATCTTTACCAAAAAATAAACAGAAAGGTCTACACACCAGAGATTTTCCTTTCCCAATGTTTTCAAAAAGAACTTGTGATCCTCAGAAAAACTGTTCTTAGAACGAGGGCTGTGAACTACAGCCCATGGGTCAAATCTGGACGGCCACCTGTTTTTATTGAAGTTTTATTGGAACACTGCCATGTTCATTCATTTATACATTATCTATGGCTGCTTTCTCTATATCAGCAGAGTTGAGTAGTCAGAACAGACACTATATAGCCCACAATTTTACTATCTGGGTCTTTATCAAAAAGTTTGTCAACTTATCAAAAAAGTTTGCCAACCACTGCTTTAGAAGAATATTACATTTTTTAAACTACATTATATTTGAGCAATGAAAACCCTAATCGATTTTAAAAGATGATTCACTCTTCACTCTTCACTCAATCATGCAAACAAAAAAGAGATCAAACTGATAGGCAAAAAGAGAAAGGTTACCCCCGACTTATCTCTAGCAAAGTGGTTAAAAAGTTTCTTCTGAGTGTCACTTTTTATAAAAACAACTAAGTAAACTTGATGACAATTTTGTGATCTGAATTAAAAAAAAAAAAAAACAACCCTGATACTTCCAATAAAGGGAGAGAAGATCATACCTCCCAATACTTAGCGCTGAAAATATTCAGCCCCCTAAGACACTGTTGGCCAGGAGAACTCTAGTACTCAGCAGTTCAATATCCTCTCCAAAGAATGCACACACACTCTTGAGAAAACAAGCTAATGAACAAGGGACTCATGTTCTCAAAAGGGAAAAAAAGCAAAAGCCTAATTAACTCAAATGCCATTGATATTTTTCATCAATACAAATGAATTGAGCACAGAGAGGTGGTAAGAGTACAAAAAGGAAAGAAACACAGTGACAATACTACTCATCAGACTGTCCCATGCCCAAGGAAAAAGGCCAGTAAATTAGTCTCCTACATGGAGTGACAAAAGCATTAAAACTATTACACCATTTTAGAAGAGCCTGCTTAGACACAAATAATATGCTAATCATGGCCAACTACTTCCTATTACTACTTCTATTTGAAATCAATAAATAATAAGCAACTAATATTTAATTCACACCTAAAGTAATGTAAGGACTGCACCAGGTACTATGGAAGCCCAAAATATGTACAACCTAATTCTTGCCTTCCAGATGGTTAGCTGGGGAAATGAGACACACACATTTTAAAAGATAAACAATAAAACAGTGAAGACATAAAAGAGTGACACAGGAAGTAACACTGGTTCAGAAAAGGTATGATGACTGTGGGTCTGGATGGTCAAGTAAGGCTTCTTTTTATAAGGCAGGATTTAAGATGAACCAACAAGAGTGAGATGTGGACAACTAGGAGAGGAAGAAGAGGCAGAAAAAGACAAAAGGGCAGGTGAAGATGTGGAAGATCATTAAGGAGTCTTCAGGGAATGTATAATTTATGAGTCTGACCAATGAGCAGGGCTCATGCAGAATTAGCAGCAGATAATCTGGCTAGATTATAGCCAGCATGTCACACAAGGCAAGGAGTTTATACTTGATCCTACACATCACAGTTCTCAATGAGATTTTTTTTTTTATTTACAGATTTTATTTATTTATTTGATGTAGAGAGCCACAGCGAGAGAGGGAACACAAGCAGGGGGAGTGGGAGAGGGAGAAGCAGGCTTCCCGCTGAGCAGGGAGCCCGATGTGCGGCCCGATCCCAGGACCCTGGGATCATGACCCAAGCTGAAGGCAGATGCCTAACGACTGAGCCACCCAGGTGCCCCTCAATGAAATTTTTTTTTAATTCAAATTTTACAAAGTAATCTTCTAAAACTCTTTAAAAAAATTTTTTTTGGGGGGGGACACCTAGGTGGCTCAGTCAGTTAAGCATCTGCCTTCGGCTCAGGTCATGATCCTGGGATCCTGGAATCCAGCCCTGAGCTGGGCTCCCTGCTCAGTGGGGAGTCTGCTTGTCCCTCTCCCTCTGCCCCTCCCCTCTGCTCATGCTCTCTCTCACTCACTAATAAATAAATAAAATTTTAAAAAATAATAACAATTTTTTAAAGTAAACTCTATGCCACATGTGGGGCTTGAACTCACAACCCTGAGATCAAGAGTTGCATGCTCTACCGACTGAGCCAGAGAGGTGCCCCCAAAGTAAACTTCCTTCTAAATTTAAAAAGTTAAAATTTATAGAGTGGTTTTTGGATGATTCAAAGTCCCTCACCAGCTGATAAAGAAAAAGCTGTAACAAGAACTTTTCCAAAAGGAAGTAAGCCTCTTTGCCTCTTTCAAAGATATTAAGAAATCGCTAAAGACAGGTTTTTCTTAAAGGAAATCCTCATGGGGCGCCTGGGTGGCTCAGATGGTTAAGCGTCCGCCTTTGGCTCAGGTCATGATGCCAGGGTCCTGGGATCGAGTCCCGCATCGGGCTCCCTGCTCCTTGGGAGCCTGCTTCTCCCTCTGCCTCTCTCTCTCTCTCTCTTTCTGTCTCTCATGAATAAATAAAATCTTTAAAAAAAAAAAAAAAGGAAATCCTCATGAATGGATAAGAAACTAATTAATGCTTTCTTCTCCATTATTTTCTCTATTTCCCAAACTCTTTACAATGACATATAATCTTTTAGAATTGGAAAAAAAAAATTTTTTTAAAGATTTATTTATCTGAGAGAGAGAGAGTACAACAGCGGGAAAGCACAAGCAGGGGAGAGGGAGAAACAGACTCCCTGCCAAGCGGGCTTGATCCCAGGACCCTGAGATCATGACCTGAGCTGAAGGCTGACACTTAACTGACTGAGCCACCCAGGTGCCCCTGGAAAAAAAATTTTAAGCCCAAATAAGGTATTTATCACATATTATGATATTTAAGATCTTTGTCTTAGAAGATAGGAGAAAAAAATCAGTAACAAACTGTTAACATAATCTTTTGGCCTACTATGAATTTGCCCATAATTTCAAGTCTGCTTACTTCAATGTCTTCATTCTCTCATAGGAAAGATTCATTTTAAGGTAAAGGCTTAGGTGCCTAGAAAAGAATTATGATAGGCAAAAGTATGTTTTTTGAATGGAGGGGAAAGGTGTCATAGCATTTTAATATCTAACAGCTATCAGATCTTAGAAAGGAAACCAAAAGTCTTTAATGAACACATACTTGTTAAAAACACTTAGTAAGGGGCACCTGGGTGGCTCAGTCATTAAGTGTCTGCCTTCGGCTCAGTTCATGGTCCCAGGATCCTGGGATCGAGCCCCACATCGGGCTCCCTGCTCAGTGGGAAGCCTGCTTCTCCCTCTCCCACTCCCCCTGCTTGAGTTCCCTCTCTCACCGTCTCTGTCAAAAAACAAATAAAATCTTAAAAAAAAAAAAACACTTATTAGTAAACATTATATAAGCCCATCTCTCTTATCATTCATATTAATACATTCTTTGAACAGTAATGAAAGTTATTTTTCAAAAGACTAACAATGAAATCAGCTATTAATATAAAAAAGTAACATTTATGAATATTTTATTATGATCCTGATAACAGGCCAGACAGACAGGTATAGCTTACCTTGGTACAAAAAGATTTTGCAGGTGTTTTAGTATACTTTGAACATATAGATTAGGCTCTTTAATAACTGGCAATGGAATAGAATCTTTCGGCAATACTAGAGCCATAATCCAGTCTGTATATACATCAACACAATATTTTACAGTCTCTCCATCCAATGGAAGGGTCAGTCCATAGCAAATTACTTCCATCGTCCATTTCACCTAAACAAAAGAAAATATACATACAGAATTATCACACATCCCTACTATATTTCAGTAGACTGATTTAAAATATTTACCTCTTTTATTACCAAAAACCTCTCAAGTGACAGTATATTCATCTCAACTACGTATCATCAGATTTATTCTCAAGAATGCACTTTCCATGGATAAAATATACTCAGACAACATTTCCTAAGCAAAATACTTGAAAAGAAAATAAATTATTTATTTCTAAATATTAAGCCCATGCTGGCTTTTACCCATTAGACATTATTATTGTTTGCAATGTGAAATAAAAAGCAATTAACAGGCCATCTTGATTTTCCCTAGAGACTGGAGGCACAGAAATAGAAAATTTTAGCTATAATTCTCCTTTTAATTTGTATACAGGTATGTGTGTTATTTAGGAAATCATATACATAAATTCAATCATATTCCATTTCCAGATCATGCAACATTAACAAGCAACAGGAAGGAATATTAACTGCTCACCTCTTATTCTGTGACTTTTTCTGCCAAAGAAAATAATTAACATGGAAAGGTAAGAACAAACACAAGTGAGAAGGGACTTAAGCTGGGTAAGATCTTAACAAGGCACTTAGCTGCACTAAATGAGTGCTAGCCTCTTGACCCATCTGCATCACATCATAGAGGCTGAGAGAACTTGCCTAAGAAACTGCCAAACCACTGCCTGCAGTCATAAAGAATGAATACGATATGAGCAGAAACGGAAAATAGCATAATTTGCAAAAGAGGATGAAACAATATTCCAGATACTGTAGACTGGAAAGTTTCAGTGAATGCCAGACGAAACTATGGGACAAAATTACTAAGCAGATGATCAGTGAGCACTTACAAAATGGAAGCATGATCACTGGGAACCAGCCTACTCAAAAAGAACAAGTCATGCCAGACAAGCTTCATTCCTTTACTAACAAGGTTACTATGAAGGCAGTGGACAATTGCATAACCCTGGCAATTTACAAAGCAACTTTCATAAATATCATCTAACCATCAAAATAACCCCGTGTGAGAGGGTACACTATCCTCACTTTATAGATAAGAAAAATGACACTTAGGAAGATTAAGCAATTTGGCCCAAGTCACTGGTGTGGAAATGGTAAAACTGAAAACTTGGGCCCTAGTCTTCCAGCTAGACATCTGAAGCTACTCTCACCATACTATCAATAGCCTTGTCTGGCTAGGGGGACCTGGGTTTTAGCAAGAAATGTGGTTAGATGCGGGATATCCTTTGGACAGGATGGAGACTTATGGCCCAGAGGAAAGTAGAATAGCTGGATTTATAAGTGGTTAAAACACAAGATGAGAGAACACAGCGGGTTAATGCACAAAGATCATTTTGAAGAAGGTGCCCAGTGGCATGCCAAAGGCCCCGCTGAGATTTTTAACGTAGGAAAAGAGAGAAAAACAGATTATAGGCTGACCATCTGTAGATACCACAAAGCTAAAATGGACAGCTAACTTGTTAGATAGAAATTCAGGATTCAAAAAGACTTCAACAGTTTAAAACAAAAGTTGAATCTAGTAAGATAAATACATGTAGAGAAAATTTTAAGCTCAAAAACAACTACAAAGACTAAGGGTAAAATTACGTAACAACAATGTAACATAGATAATATAATACATATTATCTGCAACAGCGATAAACTTTAAAAGCTATAACACTACAGTGAAGTTGTGACAAATATAGGAGGGTGGGAGGAATTTAACCACGCATAAGAAAGGATTTAAAAAGGGACTGCAAGTCCATAATTGTCAGATGAAAAGACAAAAGAGAAAATATCTCTGGTGATACCTCCATAATAGTTCAATTGTATAATTCTAGAGGACACTGGATTCAAGGACTATTCTCTCGTATCTTTTTAAGGGTGGGGAAGGAGAACCAACAAGAGTGCAGCAGAGCACCTCTATCCACTAATGTGCCTTCTCTTCCCAGGAGAAGATCACAGACCCACCAGGAGGAGAGTGCACCAGGCCAAGCGCTGGTCCTCAGGGTAAGTCTCTTTTAAGGTACTCTGAAGAGAGAAAAACGCTCCTCAGACTGAGAGGCTTCATCCTCCCGCAACCCATGGCCTGTGGAGGGTAAATAAACTGCTTTTAGAGCTATAAGCTTTAGTCTTGTATCCAGTCTTCCATGTAGATTAAGTCTAATCTCTCCTTCATCAGAAAGAAATCAAAAAGGGAGAGAAAAAGTGGGTCTGAAAAATAAGTTAACCCAAAGTCTGAAGGTTGTATAAACATCCTCAAGTACAGAGACAAAGTTCTAATCCCGTATCTTAGCCAAACATCACACTAGCAAATTCCTGTCTCTCTCCATTATCAGGGTCCCTTCATGACCTGCCCCTGAAAACTTCACTTCAGCCCAGTCACCTGAACCAAGACCAGAGGACCACCTCCAGGCGGAGCCACTCTAGGAGCCCTTATCTTTAGGGACAGCAAACACAACCCCCATTCCAACCACTTGGGCTCACAGCCATATGCGCTTAGCTGCTCTGCAGCACTCTTAAACCTGAGAGTCAGGTAAGGATAGGCAGACATGGAGACACAGGAGGACATCAAGTTCAGTGCATATGTGAAGCCTGAAAACTTGACACAAGACAAGCCTTCAGTTAGAGGCCATATTGGAGTAGCAATGAAGACCTTCCAAACAACCTCTGAATAAAAATCTGAAAAGTGGGCCCAGAGCTTAGGGGAAAGGGCCTGACACTTAAGCCTCTGTCTTGGGCACACAGCTCAAGTAGAGAGTTGGGTCTGGCTAGAAAGGAGCCAGCAGCACAATAGTACAACCTATTCCTTGACCCCCACAAACTCTCAGCCCCAACCTTCAACCCAAACAAAGGTCAAAATTTTAAAAAGTTGTACTGCATTGGACAGAAACCCATTAAAAGGACAATGTCAAATAAATTCTTCAGTAACAAAATTATGTTTTCACACAGTAGAATGAAAGGAAGAAATACTTACTTCTTTGTCAGTTTTTAATAAACTCTCACTACCAGCCACTGAAGGGGTACCTAAGGCCTGCCCAAGGGGATGGACCACCGCATTTGCCACCTCTCGCCCAACGCTCTCTGGATAGCTGTGCAGCACACTCGTGTGGCCCTGATCATTCTGAATCACCAAATGCAGTGACCTCCACTCAGAGTACATCGTGCCGCTAAAGGACTATCCAAATGGCACCTGAAAAGACAAAAGAGAATTACTGTTAAATTACACTGTTGCAAATTAATAAAAATAAGTAAAACACAGATTTACCCTACATGGTAAGATAAAGCAGCTACGAACACACTGCCAAGTAGACTGAGAAAAAAATACATCTAAATGTTTTGAGAATGTCCTAAAACAACCTCGTGGCAAGATCAGGTAGGAAGGCAGACCCTGGGAAGCAGCTGTCTGAGCACCTCCCCCAAAAGAGCCGCAGAAGCCCTGGAATGGAACTGGGACAGATGCCACTGTGCGGGGGGATAAAATTATCTGATTTGGTACTTATAACAAGAGGGAGCCCTCCTCGTTCTATGTTCCAGGACAGAAAAAGAGAGCAGAATGAAGCGCCCTAAGTAGGAAAGGAAGACAAAGGAAAGAGTTTACTCCAAGATCCAGATTCTTCAGTCAACAATTTCCAAGTACCTATTACATGCTAGAAACATACCCCTGCAATTTCCCACCAATGTCCTCAAATCAGACACAAAATTCTTTGAGAATATTTCATTCCCTGCAGCAGTGACACACAAATTTCTAACAGTGTAGACTGGAAGTCACGGTGTTCTTCAGGAAATATATTAAGAGCTCCACTCACTGAGCATTTACTGCATGCTACTCATGCAATCATCAAAACACCTCAATGAATAGGGGTGCCTGTGTGGCTCAGTTGGCTGAGCGTCCCGACTTTCGGTTTCAGCTCAGGTCGTGGGATCCAGCCCCACATCAGGCTCCACGCTCAGCAGGGAGTCAGCTTGGGATTCTCTCCCTCCTTCTCCCTCTGCCCCTCCTCCCACTTGTGTGTGTGTATGCATGCACGCTCTCTCTCTCTCTCTCTCCCCGCCTAAAGATAAATAAATCTTGAAAAAAATCCAACTCAATGAATATTAATGAACATTATCTCTATTCCACAGATGAAAAAGCTGAGACAGAGAGGTTTGCTACTTACCTGAGGCTTCAGAGCTATAACATGGGGGAGCTGGGTTTGAATCCGTATCTGTTGGGTTCCAGGGACCATTCTCTTAACCATGGCATGTACTACCTTCTCCCTATCCTATACATTCTCCATGCATGTACTGCTTCTCCCTGTGCTGTATATTCTCCATGAAATGATCTATGTCTACCATACAAATGAAAAACTGTCAGCCACAGAAAACATATCTGTATGAATACAATGTAAATATTACAATCATAAACACCACGCTCATGAAGAGAATCAAGGATGGTTAGCTCCTTCCAATTAATTTCTGTTAACTTCCAACTTCTACTTGTTCTGAAATCTGTATGCCCAGCCAGCAGAGTTTAAGAAAAATACATGGGTACACTTAATCTTTAAAAAGTTCTATCCTTTAAGCTAATTTTTCTTCACACTGGGAAAGACTAGCATTGTTCACTTTTATCTTTAAAAAACCTCATTCCAGCTCAACAAGTATCAGTGTTTTTCAAGAGGATATGGCATTTGAGATTTAGAGGCCTGCAGAATGACAATGAAACTCCTCAGCACGAAAGTCAAAGTCATTCGCAGACTGGTCCCAAATTACATTTCTTTCACATTTCCATACAGAGGAACCCACCACCTTCTCTTCCCCTCTTGCATACCTCCCACCCCCAACCCTGCTCAATCTTCTCATCCTCTTTGGGAATCTGATGGACTCTGGGCCCTGGTACCTTTTGGTACCCTATGAGATCTGATGTCCTCCTCTGGATGAAAAGGCCCTGAAAATGGGAAGGCCAGAGAGATGGGCCAGCATCTAACAAGGTACCTACAATGTGAAGGAAGGGTGGATTCGACTATTAAGATTGCCTCAGTTTCCTTGGGTTTATAAGGAATTTCCCCAAAGATATTCTGGTGCCCTCCCCACCCCTCCCAAAATAATGGAAGGGAAAAAAGGGAAAGCTCTGATAGGGAGCCATCCCCATCAGGTGACAATTTATATTTCCATGCCACACATTTTTTTCTCACCTCTTCTAGTCAACATATATGCATACATATACATACAGTGCATACACAGTATAATATACATATACACACCATACATAGTCTCTTACATAAATGCACAAGAATATTATACCGCAGGGACTTTTGTTTTGTTTTAGTGTAGTTTTTTTTTTTACCTTTTTCATTTTATTTGGCTTCATGTCCTGTCCAAATAATTCACTTCCCTAGATAGATAATCCATGTTGACAACCCAACATTTCCTCTTGTGTTTCTCTACCCTAACTCAATCATGTTAAAATAATATACATACTTGCATAGATA